TGGTGCCCACCTTAAGTACATCACTTCCCTCTCACACTTAACCGATGTGGGATTCGCCTAAGGTGAGTGCACTGTCACTACAGCCATCGCTCACAGCCACCGCTCATAGGCCACGGTGTGCGATGGGCTCTACTATGCATGATTGAAACGTGGTATGATGAGATTGATTTTGTTATTGTGAAGCTATGATCATATGCTAGGGTTATCATCCCTTACAAATAGGCGGACGCGCTTATTTGTGTGATGGGGTGGTGCTTTCATAGGCCACGATTGTGCGATGGGGGTGGCGCTAATATAGGCCACGATCACATAGGCCACGAGTATGTGATGGGGGTGGCGCTAATATAGGCCACGATCAAATCTGCTTATGTTCATTCTGCATGAGTACGAGCCTTAACGAAAAATGTGTAACACCCACCGACCTATCCTGGAGAACCAGACGGTGGATGCCACAATCGATGCCAGAGCATCATCTTATGTCACTTATAAAAGCTAGATCACAATTTAGAAGTGGTTAAATTTTCATAAGGAGGCAAGTAATTAACATTTTTTTTTTCTTTTTTTTTTTTTTACAAAAATAATGTTTAAGGAAATTCCTACGAAAATTTCGCAAGAGTTTCCCCTAAAAATTAACTTACCATCAAGTAATGAATTTATGGTATAATAAATGTGCAAGTAACTGAAATTTCATGAGTTTGAAGATTAAATTCTTCATGTTGTATGAATCGACTCATATTTTATTTGGATATCTCTCACTCTGTTGACTATAGATTTGCTCCCACTCACTCGCTCATATTTTGGAGATCTCTTTATAGATCTATACAGTCGTATCTTAACGAAATTTGTGTCTTTTAAGTAAGGGTTTGCTATCGGGCCATTGCTTTGGAAGGTATGTGAATTATGGCTCAATCACTGGAGTTTTAATACTCAGCCCGCGGAACCATTCTACTTCCCGACAACTAAGAAGATGCTGCCTGGGTTAGAGGTATTTTCTGATGTCTGGGGCAACAAGCCCGAAACAATAACTGAACTGGAAATGGAAGACTTTATGCAGCCCAGTCTCTTTGACGAGGTTACGGTCATTACGGGAAATGATGAGAACCAAGACCTGCTGAGCCTAATCAAGCCGCACAAAGGGCCTTGTAACGCCCCATTTTTCTGTGTTTAAAATTATTTTGGTTTATATATTTGGAGATAAGCATAGGATTTATTAAATGAGTGAATATGAAATATTTTAAGTCAGTTGATATGATTACTTCATTAACTTCATTAAGACTTGATATCTATAATGAATGCAAGTAATTGATGAATCGAAAATACTATTGAGGATTTATTCAGTTATGAAAACATAAAAGTGTTGTTGTGTTATAATAATTATTTGGAGATGTTGGACGTTTGGAGTTTCATTGGGAGTATTTTGTATTCACATATTTGGCGAGCTCAGTTTTTAAAGGGTATTTTTGTAGGATTGTTCCCAATGATGACATTTCTATTATATAAAAAAAATAATATACTCGTGAAACTTGTGAATACCCAATTACTTCTAATGTAAAATTTTAGTTTTATGATTTATATGTTAAGTTAAGACGGTGTCTCCAATTACTTCTAATGTAAAATTTTAGTTTTATGATTTATATGTTAAGTTAAGACGGTGTCTCCGGCACCCACGGGTGTCTCCCGGCACCGAATGTGCAATCCGCCGTCGAGTTAAGACGGTGTCTCCGGCACCGAATGTGGCATCCGCCGTCGAGTCTCTCGGGATTGGGTGGCGGGTGTTACATTAATATTGCCCTTCTGGCAAAGCAGGGCTGGAGACTACTATGTTACCCGAATTCTCTTGTTGCTAAGGTGTATAGCGCTAGATACTTTCATGGGAAGACTTTTTTGGAGGCAGAGCTTGGATCAAACCCAAGCTTTATTTGGAAAAGTGTGCATGCTGCGCAGGAGTTGATTGGAAAAGGAGCCTTTAGGCGCGTTGGGTCTGGTCTGAATACGTTTGTTTTCAAGGATCTATGGATTCCTTCGGTCCCTGGTTTTCGGGTTATTTCTAATAATACATCTAGTCTGGCGGATATGGAGGTACGTTCTTAACGAGTGAAGGGGGTAGTAGCTGGGATGAGGAGATTTTAATGGCTTTATTTTCTCCCTTGGAAGTGAATGAGATCAAGAAGATACTGCTTGTGGGTGCAGGATGTGATGATTCTTGGAGCTGGCTGTTTGAACGACGAGGAAGCTACTTGGTTAAAAGTGGGTATCGCAAACTGAGAGAATTGGTTCCACCTGCAGACTCAAACCAGGGTGGGAAGGGGATTTTTTTATGGAAAATGGATGTGCCAAAGAAGATACTCAATTTTGTCTGGAGGGCTGTTTCTAATCATATACCAGTGGCCAGGAACTTGCATCAAAGAAGAGTTGAGGTCAGTGTTTTATGTCCGATTTGCTTGGCTAATGATGAAACGGTCTTACATTGTCTTTATAACTGTGCTTATGTCAAGTTAGTTTGGAGCATGAGTGGAGTTGGATGTTTTAATGGAGTCTCTAGTATGGAAGATTGGTTGGATTGCTGTAAAATGTTCTTAGATAAGGAGCAGCAGCAGTTATCTTTTTTCCTTATGTGGGAATTATCTGTATAAAAATGTTCTTAAGATAAGGAGCAAGCAGGCAGTTATCTTTTTTCCTTATGTGGGAACATTATGGCTGCATCGGAATAAAAAGAGTTTTGGGAAGCGAGAGGGGCGTGGAGAAGTAGTTAGACAGAAAATCCTTTTATGGTGGCCTTTACGATTCAAATATGGTTGAATGGCAACACGCACAGTGCGCAGGACAATTCAAGGCTCCTATACTCATCGTGGATTCAGAGCTGTTTCTTTCGAATTTCTTCGTCAGTTCATGACAGAGACCCAGATTCTAGGTATGCATTTCAAACACACTGAACATGTGATGCGGCAATATGAAATGGTCACTATCACGGTAAAGTCATCTTGCGGTTGGATCTTAAACTGAACATTGATGCGGCATATGATGGTAGTTCAGGTAAGTCATCTTGCGGTTGGATCTTAAGGAGGCATGATGGGAATATGGTTGGAGGAGGAAGTAGGAATTGTGGAACTACGTTGAATGCGTCTGTGCCAGAAGCTATAGGGATTCGAGAAGCCTTGAGCTGGTTGAAGCCTCTGAATCTCAAAGAAAGTGTGTTGGTCAAATCAGATTGTATGGTGGTTGTTCATTTGATCAATTCACAAGTGCAGGATTTATCATATCTTGGTTTGATCGTTAAACAAATTAAAGAATTGATGAGTGACATTAACTTGTCTTCTATTTCTTTTGTTTGTAAATCAGCTAATCAAGTTACTCATTCTCTTGCAAGAGCAGCTCTATTACATGCTGATTTTATGGAGTGGGGTACTATCCCTCCAAAGATTTTATCATGGATGTATTGGCTTTTGATAAGTTGAATTAATAAGATGAAAGCTTGTTTTATTCAAAAAAAAAAATTATAATTAGATCTTAATTAAATGTCGTTTTATTTTCTTTTATTAGTATCATCATATATATTAGTATATTTATACTTAGAAGTCTAGTATATAGTTTCAGGAGTATAGCAACTATAATTAATTATAACAACTCAAGTGAAACGTATTTTCTCCTCTCTCCTTCCTTCTCTGCGCCGCTTGTTTTCTGCACTTCTACAGCCACAGTCTTTCTTGAAGACCTTTCCGTTGCTTTCGTTCTTCGCCATCGCCTTTGCGGTAGACGTGCTCTTCAAGCGTACAACTGCTCTTCAGCCATACAAGTTCGTTCTTGATTTTTTTTTTTCATTCTCATTTTTTTTTTTGCTTTGTTTCTTTTTTTTTTTTTTTTTTTTAACTCTTTTTTTTTTTTTTTTTTTTAAACACATATAAATAGAACAGAGATTAGTGAATTGTTGAAATTAATTTGATCGGCTTCAGCAGTTATATATTGTACAGAAAATGTGAAATCTGCTCTAGCCAAAAATAAAAATGTGTTCTCTGGCAATAGTTTTCCATTTGTTTGATCATGACGAATGATTGCGGCTTGTACTCTCATTTTGTTGAAATGTTCTTCATAATGGCTTATGATTGTAGTCAATTTTAAGTGAGATGTGCATTATATGAGGGATTTTAGAATTCTTGCAGAATTGTAAAATAGTGATTGCTGAATTAAATGGGGTATTTAAGCAGATTTAAAATAGTACGTAGGGCATTTTTTTTTTTTTTTTTTTTTTTTTTTAAACACATATAAATAGACAGAGATTGTGAATTGTTGAATTAATTTATGGCTTCAGCTTTTTGTACAAAATGTGAAATCTCTACATGCAAAAAATAAAATGTGTTTCTGCAATAGTTCCATTTGTTTGATATGACGATGATTTGCTTGTACTCTCAATTTGTTGATGTCTTCATAATGCTATGATTGTATCAATTTATGAATGTGCATTATATGAGGGATTTTAGATTTGCAGAATTGTAATAGTTGCTGATTAAATGGGGTATTTAAGCAGATTAAAATAGTACGTAGGCATTTGTAAACGGATTTGCGACGGATTTGGATATTATTAATTTATTTTTTAAGTGATTCAAGTATTTATATTATTACATTATTAATGGATTCGAATAATTTATTTTTTATGGGTACCCGCCATGCAGCCAATCCCTATCCACAACAAAGTGCGGGTAGTTTTATTCTTGGAATCTATATTCACGATTCCTCTTAAAATCGATGTTGTGGTTCTTATTGGACAACTTCTTCCTAGTTTAAAGTTTCTATTTTTTAATTTTTTCCATAAAGTGGAAAGTAACAAACCGCCCCTTGCCCCTCTTTCCAGTATAGAGCTTCCCACTACACTGGTTTCCAACTTTTCTCCCATCGGTAAGATAAGGGACATATTTTACAGCAGGTCATTTATGTCTTTTCCTCATCTATAGACGGTAAAAAGCGAAAGGACCATTTTTAATGCGACGAAAATATAACATAGGGACTTCATAGTAATTTGCTAAAAATAGAGGAACTCGTTAATTACTTTTGCGACAAGTTCGCGAGGAAAGTGAGCTTCTTTCCAAAAGAAAAACAGCAAAATAAACTGTGCCCTCGGTTCAACTTCACAGTGTTTGCCTCTGTCGACTACACCTTTCCGCATAACTCTTTCGTCTCTCTTCCTGATTCTGGCATATTAAATTGTGAGAATTACGGCAAAATTAAACCAATTTCAGAACTTTGAAACTTGACCTAACCCCACTTCGCATTCTGATAATCTATAAATCAGGAAGGACCATGAACGCTTCAATAATAGGTGAGCAAGTTCTCTCTTTCTCTCCTTTTATTTTTCTTTGTTTTTTATGGCCTTTTATATGTCAGTATTTACATATAAGGAATGTATAATGTGTCGTATATTGGTGATAAGATCCTCTGCAAGGAGATTTTCCAGAGGTCATTGAGGAGTATTTGGAACATGGGATTATGAAGTGCATTGCCTTCAATCGTCGTGGCACTCTTCTTGCTGGTATGTTTTCAAATTTCTATTTCTTATTCTAATTGTGAAGATATACTTTTTCAGTTGGTGTGTAGGAGGCCAGGAGTGGACTTTTTTTTGGGAATGAAATCCTTTGTTTTACATATTCATATGATTGAATCACTGGGTTTCCTAAAAAATGTGCGTCAAATGAATTCTTGGTATTTAAATGAATCATTGGTTGTCCTCAACCCTTTTTTTAAAGTTAGTTTGTATTTTGAAGCTTTAGGAACTATGATTGGGGAAACACAATATGTAGTCATATGCATAACTTTTGTGCAAAGTGCAATCTATCTCTAAATTGTGGTTTAATATTTATCAGTGTTCCTTTTTTTTTTTTTTAATTAGAAAATTGGTAAATGAATAACAAGGAAAATTATGTATGAACTGGGGAATATTAATTTAATGTGTGAATGCAAGGTATGGATGAATGTGCCTGGGCACAATCTCTTTTTCCCCCATCCTTTTCCTGCAAATATTTATTCTTATAATTCAAACCATCTGCTCAATAATGATTCAGTTTGTTTATACATTAGCTTTCACTTGCACGTTTGGAGCGGTGTGTGCTTCACTGAGCTTGCAGATTAGGTTAGTCCTATTCCTTATCAATTACTATAGATGCCCTCTACATGTGAATTAGCCCGTGCAAGACTAAAATTTATTCTCAGTGAATAACTGATGCCAAAGAAAAAGATGTTACAACAAGCAATTTCTCCTTTTAGCTTGTCTTTTATGAGCACCTTCCTTCTATAAGTTTGGCTATTTGTCTGCAGCAATGGTTGAAGACTCTGGATATCAAGTCTCTCTATTCTCAAATTTTGTCATGGCCCTCAAGTGCATTCTTTTATTTACTAAATAATTTTAATTATTTAGCACTTTGTTATCAAGTGAGAGCACAGAATATCAAAAAATAACGGTTAAGGTTGATAGTAGATGCTGAAATACTAAATAGCTAATGTTACACATTATGAAGGTTTCGCTCCCATATTTAGGCTTTATCTATTCCATTATTGTATATGATATTGGCTTTAAATGACAGGGTCATGCTATCAGTTATGAAATTAGTACATGGTAAAATAAATGCATTTTAAAATGGTTGAAGTACATGTTTTAGTAAAACCAATCCTAAATCCATGTATATTGCAGTATATTTTGTTTGTATAGAAACTGAAAGCATGGCCAGTTTCTAAATTGATTGTGACTGTTTTTACTCACATTTACTAAATTACTCTGAAGTATTTGAGCCAAGTACATAAGTTTTGAGTGGAATACTTCATATGAGTTCTTTTGTTCTTTATTCACAAATCTCCTCGATGATCATTGAAAATCAGCTCCTTGATTTTTAGTTTAGTAGACATATTTGTGGAAAATTGATCCATGTGGTTTACTAGTCATAAAGAGGATAGTAGGTGAAACATTGTGTTTTCTTTGGTCCCCTAGTTGGATTTTATTCTCAGACCAAGTATACGATGGTTAACTAAGAACCATCTGAATCTGGGTTTAAATAATGGAATGTAGAAACAATAATGTAAATGGAAACAGTGTCATGGAATCAATCTGGATTGGAGTGACTAGTTCTGACTCGGGCGCTGCTACTTGGAATTTTTGAAGCAATTTTGAACTAACTGAAATCAATGATAGACAACAATTTTCAATAAAACATAACTTAAAAAATGGAAGTAATGAAATATGCAAGATACTAATAATTGAGCAAAACAGGAGAAATGGCTGTTTCTCATGTTTCTATAAGAATGCACCTGTTAATAACAGATTTCTTTCTTTAAGTTGTTCACTTGTTATCCATATTTTGAGTACTTTTCATCTTGATTCATATAGATACGAAAGGGAAGACATGCCTCAATGCCTGTGCTTTTAAGCTGTATTTTCTCCTTTGTTTTTCACTTTGACTATATAAGGAAATTTGCCCATGCTGATGGTAGATATTCTAAATTCATATTTGTTTGCTATTGATGCTTGTTTTTATTTTTCACTAGCTGGATGCTCTGATGGAAGTTGCATTATTTGGGATTTTGAGACTAGAGGAATTGCTAAAGAGCTTCGGGATAAGGAATGTGTTGCTGCAATAACAAGCATCTGTTGGTCAAAGTATGGTCATCGCATTCTTGTTTCTGCTGCAGATAAATCATTGACACTTTGGGATGTTGTCCATGGAGAAAAGATTACACGCATTATTCTTCAGCAGACACCACTGCTAGCTCGCCTGCATCCTGGTTCCTCTGCTCCATCTCTCTGCTTGGCTTGCCCACTTTCATGTGCTCCAATGATTGTTGACTTAAACACAGGAAGCACAATCATGCTTCCAGTTATGGTACCTGAAATGGGCAATGGACTTGCCCCTCCATCTCGCAACAAATCTTCAGATGGGACTCCTTCTTTCACACCCACTGCTGCATGCTTTAACAAGCATGGAGATTTGGTTTATGTGGGAAATTCGAAAGGGGAAATACTTATAATAGATCACAAAAGCATCCAAGTGCATGCCATGGTTTCCATTCTTGGTGGTGCCGTGATAAAGAACATAGTATTCAGTAGAAATGGACAGTATCTGCTTACAAATTCAAATGATCGGACAATTAGAATCTATGAAAATCTTCTGCCTTCGAAAAATGACGTTACTGCTCTAGAGGACATAAAGAGAACCATTGATGATCTAGATGGTGTTGAGAAGATTAAGACCGTTGGATCGAAGTGCTTAGCACTTTTCCGAGAGTTCCAAGATTCTATCACCAAGATGCACTGGAAAGCACCTTGTTTCAGTGGTGATGGTGAATGGGTAATTGGTGGTTCTGCAAGCAAAGGGGAGCACAAAATCTATATATGGGATAGGGGTGGGCATCTTGTAAAAATCCTTGAAGGTCCAAAGGAAGCATTGATTGATTTAGCATGGCATCCTGTTCATCCCATTGTAGTTTCTGTTTCCTTGACTGGTTTGGTGTATATTTGGGCTAAGGATTATACTGAGAACTGGAGTGCATTTGCACCGGACTTCAAAGAGCTGGAGGAAAATGAAGAGTATGTGGAGCGAGAAGATGAATTTGATCTAATACCTGAAACTGAAAAGGTGAAAGAAGATCCATTGCTTTCACAGATCCTCGGTTTATTTCATGGTTTTGAAATATTTAGTGTTCTTGCAGGTAAAAGAATTAGTTGTTAATGAAGATGAAGAAGTTGATATTGTGACAGTGGAAAAAGATGCTTTTAGTGATTCAGATATGTCACAGGAAGAAGTCTGCTTCTTGCCAGCTGTTCCTTGTCCTGATATTCTAGAGCAACAGGACAAATGTGTGGGAAGTTCTTCAAAGTTGATGGACAGTAATCATTCTGGATCCCCTCTTTCAGAAGGAGCGGAGCAGAATGGACTAGCAAGGAACGGTGAATCAAGTCCACTTGAAGGTAACATCAAGCATGGTTAAGGGTTTGAAGTGCATGGATTTCTTATTCAAATTGCATTAATTTCTAATTCACAATGATTAACCATAATTTTGGTTGCATCAAACCATAAACTTGGATCCAGAACTCCTAGGACTATGGCTGTTCAATCGGTTTTGGCAAACCTGAATCAACATTTATGACAAGCATTAATTGCAAATGTTTTTTTTTTATTTAGTTTATTTGACTTTTATAAACTTTAAGTACTATTTTTCGGGTCATGGGCGGGTCATAATTCGCCTGATCGTACAGCCCTACCTAGGACTTCCCAAGTAAACAACTGATCTGTCCAGCAGCCAAAAGTGGTAGCAACGAGTTGAAATCGCTATATTGACTTTTCAGAAAATCTTTTCTAACAAAATTGTGATGGTTAATTCTTCATTGGATCATGGAGGATACAAAACAAAATAAAATTTGTGAACTTTTCTAATTGGCTTTCGCTTCTCACATGACTTTTAAGTCCAAAATGTTTAGTGAAAGCTATGAATGCGGACTACCAGGTTAAAGTGGCAGGAAAGACTGAAGGAGACAAGATTCTAAAAAGAAATGTAGGAGCATAAAAATTAATCAATAATTAATCTAATGTATGAGCTTCAAAAGATAATTAATCAATCTTCTTCTAATTAATTATGCTGGGTGATGAAACCTTGTTATTCTTATGACTTGAGTGTTGGTGGAGATGTGTTATTGTTATAACTCGCTGTCTTAATTGATTTCTGATTCCTTTATCTGAACTGATGGTCAGGCGAGTGGCCTATTTACTGCCTGCATAGTTATTTGTGAATGATAATTGATGCTGAAAATAAGTTCATCTGGATTATGAGAGGCTGAGGGGGAGGAAGGTCCATATTGAGAGAAAGTGTGTTTTCTGTGCACCACAAGCATTGAATGATGTTAGCCATAGTGTTTGTTAACCCTTTATATAAGTATCTGATGCGGATAATTATATTCTGAGCATTTTTTCTTTGTTTGAGGATGTCACTGACTTTTATATGATGATGGATGCTCTCACAGAGGACACAGGAGGTACGAGAATGAAGAGGAGGCGGAAACCTTCAGAAAAAGGGCTGGAGTTGCAGGCAGAGAAGGTCAGGAAACCTTTGAAACCATTGAAATCTTCTAGTAGATTGTCAAAAGTAAAGAACAAATCCATTGTCGACCTTGATATTAGCAATGGTATTAATGAGGATGTTTCTGATGACTAGTATTAGATAATTGTACTTGTGAGTTATGAAAGTTTAAACGTTAACCTTCTGGATAGAATGAGGTGGAGAGGGGGTGATGAGTCGCACAAGTTCAATCATAATTATATTCTCATTTCTGGTTAGTCTTTGAAGTTTTGCTTCATTAAACTATTTGGTACTTCCGTTTAAATAGTGTCTAAGTTATAATAAGTTATTGAGTAAATTAATTATTTTATTCTTAATTTAATATTAATTTTTTAATAAAATCATTAAATTGAATTAATAATTATTACATTTAATTGAAAGTATTATAAACCGTTAACCTTCTGGATAGAAATGAGGTGGAGAGGGGGTGATGAGTCGCACAGTTTCATCATAAAATTAATAGTTCTCATTTCTGGTTAAGTCTTGAAGTTTTTGCTTCATTTAAACTATTTTGGTACTGGCTCCGTTTAAAATAGTGTGCTTAAGTATTATAATAAGTTATCTAAGTTATAATAAGTTATTGAGTAAATTAATTATTTTATTCTTAATTTAATATTAATTTTTTAATAAAATCATTAAATTGAATTAATAATTATTAGTCGTATACAAAAGGGTAAATATGGAACAAAATATTTACTATTCTTTGAAATTATAAATGTAATAAGTATTTATTTTTTAAATGTGTTTTTTAAATGTGTAAAGTATTATGGAATGGAGGTAATAAAATTTTAATAATAATTTATAAAAATGTCAAATGACCATTAAATGTATAATTATTTATATATTTTACAAAAGCATAAATGTGATAAATATTTATTTTTTCAAATATGACAAGTATTATGAAATGGAGGTAAGAAAATTTTAGTAATAATTTATAAAAATGTCAAATGACCTTTAAATGTATAGTTATTTTTATATTTTATTATACATAATAATAATAATAATAAATTATACATAATAATACATTATATTTTTTATTTTTATCATAAACAATATTTTATATTTTTTATATTTTATATTTTTTAGCATTTAATAAAAAATGTACAAGTATTATATATTAGTATATATAATATAGTAAGTGAGAGGTATAGTATATATAATATATATATATATATATTAAAGGTGAATGTAATTATTTTCAGTTTTTGATATCGTGATATGTATTATTTTCAGTTTTGATATGTGATATAAAAATATTAATAATTTTTTATAATAATTTTAAATAGACATTTATTGTTTATAATTACATAAAAATATTTATTTTAGATAGATCTTATTAGTAATTATTAGATAATAGGAAAAAGCTTCAAAATTTAGCATAAAAACACTCTAGTAGCTATCAAATCATTTAACCTCTTGTTCGGGAGGTGAAAACATTTTTTTTTTTCTTGAAACATTTGACGATTCATTGATAAAAAATATAACCCAAGTACATTATAACAACTCTATAAAAATAAGAAATACAAATATAGAAAATTGAAATCTTCTGTTTGAAAATAATCTTAGCAGTAGAGGTTAATATTATGTATAAAAAATTATCTATTTTCAAATAAGACAATAAAAAAGAAATTTCTACAATATTGTCTCAAACTTTATTTTTTCATAAACTTGCTACAATTGGCATTTACAAAAAGAGTTTCATATATCAAAGTTTAATGGAGGAATATATCGCATTATTAGGTTGCATTGATATAAAAAAAGATAATAGTTATTCGAATTTGAAGATTTGAAGTCTCTAATCACAAATAATCAATAATTCATCTTGTATTTCGAAGTGTCAATAAAACAAAGAAGACATCTCTTAAATAATGAGAAACAACTGTAGAGAAATTAATAAATAAAAACACAACCTCACTAAGAAGATACCAAAAATACTCTTAAATATTACAGATCTGATAGACTAAATTTAAATTTTATTTCAAATGATTATATTTTTTAAAATTATTAAAAATAAAAGTAAATAAAATAAAAAACCGATGGACAATGAATGGAAAAAAACCACTGCCTACCAAAGAAAATAGTCAATAGTGGTTTGAAACTAAAATCTAAAAAGAAACCTAAGAAGAAAGAGAGAACTCTAGAGATACAATTGAGTGTGGGTTCACTCATAGAAAACTGGAATAGTTTTCTACAAAAGTTTTTCAAGAAAACTAAAAAACGGAATTTTGTATTCAAATCAGTCAGTTTTCTACAGTTTTTCAATTGTTCTCCAGAGTTTTCCTTTATAGGGAAAGACATGTTTTCCAACTGTTTTCCATTTTTTTAAATGACATTTTCATAATTAAAATTATAATAACCGGAATTTTGTATTCAAATCAGCATCAGTTTTTGCTACAGTTTTTCAAATTGTTCTCCAGAGTTTTCGCTTAATTAGGGAAAGACATGTTTTCCAAGCTGTTTTCCATTTTTTTTAAATGACATTTTCATATATTAAAAAAATATAAAGGTTCTTAATAAAAATATCTATAAATAATTTTTTATTATTTAAAATAATTTTCATTTGAAAAAATAAAAATATTTAAGTAAATAAAATTTATATTAATGCTTTAATAAATAATTAATTTTATTATTACAAATTATTATTACAAATATATTATATTCTTTATTTTTAAAAAAATGATATTATTATTATAAATAATCAATAGTAAAAATTCAAAAACTTTTACATACAAATGCTTGCATTTACAAAACATTATTATTTAAAAGAAGAATAATTATAAATTTAATGTCTGAATTTTTTAAAACTTTCGATTAATTGTGTTTAGCTCCTGAAGTTTCTCTGACAAAGGATTCAACAGGAAGCAGAATTGTGGATAACAACGGTCCACACAAAACTACAGGCAATCCCGTTAAGCGGGATGGTCGTGCACAATGAGACTCCTAAGTTGGAACTGTAGGGGTCTGGGCAATCCCCGAACAGTTCAAGCACTCAAAGATTTTACTTTGAGTAATAAGCCCGCAGTGGTTTTTTTAATTGAAACTTTAGTTCAGTTTTTAATTGAAAAACTTTAGTTCAATAAACAAAGACTTGAGGGAGCGTGCTGGTAGGCAGTATGGGCTTATTGATGAATTCGTTTTCGCGGGTTGATTGCACACGGTAGGCAGCGCGGTTTGGGTCTTTATCTGGAATAATGAAAACCTTACTTGGATCGGTTCAAGGAAACCTTACTTGATGTTCAAGGTTTCTCGCAACATTGTATTGATGCATGGATTAAAGAAGGAGATTATTCATGGAGATTAACGGGATATTATGGGGTAGCTGATAGAAGCAGAAGACGTGCTGCCTGGAATCTTCTTAGAGCTTTAAGGGGTCGTTGCAACAAACCTTGGCTTATATTAGGAGATTTTAACGATTTGGCCACACACTCTGAAAAGTGGGAGGGTTGTTCTTACCCACAAGCTCTTATTGATGGCTTCCGAGAGGCAATTGATGATTGTGGCTTGACTGATCTCCCATCAGCTGGATACAGGTTTACATGGGCCATGAAACGGTTCGGAAAAGTTTACACGAGAGAGAAACTTGACCGAGCCATGGCAGACAAGAATTGGTCCGACCATTTTAGGGATGCAAAAGTTAATACACTTATCTCACCAACATCTGATCACGACCCAATCATTGTTCATACATCAGCAGCTACTACGGCAAACTCTAAAGCATTTAAATTTGATAACGCTTGGCTCTGTGATTCGGGTATTCATTTGATAACGCTTGCGCCTCTGTGATTCGGGTCATTCGCAGAAGCTGGTCGCCTCGGCTTTTGGGGGTACGATAGTGCAAATGGTGCATTTTGAGAGAAGCGAGATCAGTGCATTGATTGTCTTACGGCGTTTGACAGGAGCAGGAAATTAAAGAAGTTTTAGGGCGCCAGCAAAAAACCAGAGATATTTTACTCGAAACATTAGAAACATGGGATGAGGGAGGTGCGATTCCTTGAAATGTACACCAAGCCCTTGCAAGGACAAGTACAGCCTCTCCTAGCCGAGGAGGGAAGCTTAAGGAAAGAACGCAAAATTTGCTAAGCAAATTTTGGTCTACCCAAGGAGATTAGAAATAGCAGATTCTTCCAACGCAAAAACCAAAGCAAGACGCCCAGGGAAAAATACAATAGTAGGGATTACATTGATGAGCAATTGGTAATTTGGTCAACTAATCTCGTCTTGGCATTAAAAGATCAATACATAACTACTTTTTGGCTGACAATCTTTTTCAACGTGCAACGTCACACATCCAAAAATTTTCAAGTGCAAGTCAACATCTAGACGAAGTTTCGTACCTCACTTCTTTACTTTCTAGGAAAGTGAGCGAGGATGACAATGATTGGCTCACAGGGATTGTTTCGGAGGAGGAGGTTAGGTTGGCTATTTTTCACATGCACCCGGATAAGGCACCTGGCCCTGACGGACTTAATCCTGCATTTTACCAAAAATTCTGGGACATTATTGGCACTGATATTGTGAAGGCTTGCAATGACTGGCTACAAGCAAGTATTTTTCCTAATTCATTGCCAGATACTCTTATTGTGTTAATCCCTAAAATTGTTGACCCTAAAGAGGCTAAAGACTTTAGACCCATAGCATTGTGTAATGTTCTTTACAAAATAGTGTCTAAAGTTTTAGCTAATCTAATCGTTTGAAAATTGAGTTGCCAAAAGTCATTTCTGAACATCAATCTGCATTCATACCGGGTAGAGCTATTACTGATAATATTTCAATGTCCTTTGAAATGATGCACAACCTTAAAAGACAGAAGTGTCGTGGGATGGGATCTTGTGCTATGAAAATAGACATTAGTAAGGCTTATGACCGGGTTGATTGGAATTTCTTGTGGGTTGTTATGCTTAAATTGGGTTTCTCAGAAAAATGGATAGAGTGGATGAAAATGTGTGTTTGTGGAATAAATTATTCTGTTATTGTTAATGGAGAGATTGTGGGCCCAATTTTGGCTAGTAGAGGGTTACAACAGGGCGACCCGATTTCACCCTATCTCTTTCTGTTATGTGCGGAAGGACTCACTACTTTATTTGATGAAGCTGAGAGAAAAGGCTGGATTCATGGGGGTAAGGTAGGTAGAAGTTGCCCTCGCATTTCTCATTTGCTTTTTGCAGATGATTCACTCTTCTTTTTTAAAGCTACTACGAGTGAAGCAACAAAAGTAAAAGAAATTCTGCAAAAGTATGAGAAAGCATCAGGACAAGCTATCAATTTCCAAAAATCTGGTTTGGTTTTTAGCCCTAATACAGATGTGACTATACAGATGTGACTATGAGAAGGCAGATTGAACAGTTACTGGGGGTCACAACATCAGGGGAGGATAGTATATACCTTGGTTTACCTTCAGTTATTGGACGTAACAAGAGACATATTTTTGGCTTTCTAAAGGACAGAATGTGGAAAAAGATGAACAGTTGGTCAAATCATTTTCTTTCCAAAGCTGGTAAAGAAGTGCTTATCAAATCAGTGCTTCAAGCTATTCCATCCTACTGTATGAGTTTTTTAGAATTGCCCTTGACATTTTGTAATGAAATCCATAAGATGATGAATCGATTTTGGTGGCGGAATCGATTTTGGTGGCGAGGAAAGCAGGATGTAGGAAAAGGAATCCACTGGTTGAGTTGGGAAAGAATGTGTGGCAGTAAAGATAAAGGAGGTATGGGTTTCAAAAATATTAGATGTTTTAACATTGATATGCTTGCCAAGCAAGGGTGGCGTTTGCTAAACTGTGAGAACACCCTTTTCCATAAAGTTTTCAAGGCAAAATATTTTAGCAGAAAGGATTTTTTGGAAGCACCTTTGGGTAAGAATCCTAGCTTTGTGTGGAAAGGTATATGGTCAGCTAGCAAGGTGTTGAAACATGGTGTACGGTGGAGAGTAGTTGGCAATGGGGAAAAAATTAGGGTGGTTCATGATCCATGGTTACCAAAAGAGGCTCCATTTAGGGTAGTGGGTTGGCAAGGATTTATAGATGAGGGTTTGAGAGTTAAAGATTTATTTATGAGTGGGGAGAGAAAATGGGATGCTGGAAAAATCATCAGTTTATTTAGTGTGGAAGAGAGTCATCAAATCCTTAATATACCCCTTAGCATTAGAGATAGAGAGGATGTGCGAGTGTGGCATTTTGATAGAAAAGGGGTATATACTGTCAAGTCAGGTTACAAAGTGACTTGCGAGATTGGGTTGGTGAGTTTGGGTCATGGTGGAAGACAGTGTGGGATATTGAAACGCAACCTAAGATTAAAGACTTAATTTGGAGAGTTCTTAGAGGGGTCTTACCAACAAGAGAGAGACTTAAGAATAGGGGGGTTACTGTTAATGAAGGATGTCCTTTATGTGGTGAGGTAGATGTCCTTTATGTGGTGAGGTAGATGAGGTAGAAAGTATTGATCATGCTCTAATCAATTGCCACTTTTCTTGCGTATTCTTGATAAACCAGCGTTTATATATAGATGTAGGAGGATCTGTTTGGGAAGTAAGAAGCCCCTTTTTGCTAAAAAAGTCTGGAATCTAGGAGGCTTTCTTGTGCCCAACACTAACATTGCTTTTAAAGATTTTTTTATGCAGGTAATACAAAATAATGAAACTCCTAAACTTGCTAAATTTGCTAATATTCTATGGGGTATTTGGCACATGAGAAACAAATGGCTTTGGGAAAATGTTCACTTAACTCCCATTCAAGTCTACACACGAGCCATGCACTCCATGCAAGAATTCACTACAGCTCAGAGGCATACTCAAGTGGGTTTGATACATCAGCCCAATCCTAGTGGCAATTTAAAGTTCAAAGGGTCAAATAGTGCAGTAATGATTCACCTTCTCTCTGCATCAACTTTATCTACACCAACATTAGCACAAGTCCCCACCACTCTCCAAAGCCGGCGCCATTTTGTTGCAATAAAAAATGTCTGGATATGGTATTACTACATTTGAAGATGATGAAGGTATTTTTTTGAAAGCTATTTCAGGTTACTATGAAGGTACACCGGACTCGGCCATAGTTGAGGCGATTGCTCTTCGTCAAGGCCTACTTTTTGCTGTGCACTTCTTCCACAATCCAGGATGTTTTTATGTGGACTTGCAACTTGTTATTTTTGCTCTTAACTCTAGTGCTCCAGATTTCTCTTTTTTTGGTCTTGTAATTTAGGATTGTCTCTATTTACTAGAACTTCGCCCTGATTTTGAGGTCCGTTGGGTTCGTAGGCAAGCTAATATAGGAGCTCATACTCTAGCTAGAGCTGCCTATCGTCATGCTCGCCATGTTATTTGGGATAGTACTCCCCATTTTATGTTGGATTTTTTCTCTTAAATAATGAGATTTTAATCTTTTTACTCCCCATTTTATGTTGGATTTTTTCTCTTAAATAATGAGATTTTAATCTTTTCAAAAAAAAAAAAAAAATTGTGTTTAGCCTATGTGGCTCACCTGAAGTCCAAATAGGACGATAGTAGGCATGACACGTTATGAGGCAGAATCATTTGGATAAAAAATGTTGCGGTGGCTGAAAATGACATGGCAAGCTGAACCAACATATAACAAAAATGACTATATTAACCATTTCAATGACAATCTCCTTGATGTCGATCTAGGGTTTCATGAATGCTTAAAATACAAATTTCATCTTAAAAAAATTGAAACAATAAAATAAAAGTAAAACAAACTGTGAACTCACAACATATATTGATCATCCTAAAAAACTTAGAAAAAGGAAATAAAAATGAAAAAAAATCTATCAACTCAACTTTTTGAAATCAATCTCAAAAACACATCCATTACCAAAATGAAACCAATCAACTCATATCTTGAGTAACAAGTCTCAGGTTAGAGAAGGAAGAACCGAAAGAAGATATCTAGTTGAGCCTTTACGCCCTTTACTATTAAGAGAAATGTCCCGCTCTTGGCACACATTCTCTATGATGGGTTTCATTTCTGGTTTAGGAATGTTTTTCATGAGATTTGTATCCCACAATAAGCTAGCCCTGTATATTTCAGGGATAAATTTTAGCATTTAGCCCTACTGCAAATTCCCAAGTGCTTGAAAGTATACAAAGCAAATGCCATATCAAGCTACACATCTTGTATCACAAACAGTCTAACAGAAAATTGAATTAAAAAAAACAAATAGAAATCATAATGCATCACCAATACCAAAAAGGCAACAACTATAAAATAAAAATAAAAAATATATTTTAAAAGATAACACCGGAAGCAAACTCAAATACCTTTGCCAAAAATTTTTGCAATATAACAAAAAGCCAATAGTATCACATAAATTTGACTAACAGCTTCAATAATTTGCGAATTTCTAAATAGAATAAGTAGAGAAATTATCAATGAGTGGAGATTTATATTCAAAACTTGATGGAAATGCTTGTTTTGTTTCTTAGAGGAAGAAGTTTAAGTGAACTAGCTATTTTGGGAAGGAGGGGAGCAGGGACAGCCCAGAAATGTAAATTATGGTAGGGACAAATGGTTAGCATAAAGCTCCTAAAAGCCACAGGTATTAGGTTTGAACTCAGGACCAGCTGTGAGAATATATTTTTTTAAGGGAGGGTAGGGAATTCCCTTCAATGTTGCTGCTTTGTCCCTGGGGAGGATGATTTATCAATGGAAGAGGGAACCTTTCCAATAGTTGTTGATGCTGCAGATTGTTTAGAGGATTTATCAATGGAAGAAGGAATCTTTTCAGTAGTCGTTGAAGATGAAGATTCTTGAGATTCAGCAAGCTTGCGTAGTCTCTCTTGAAGAGCTCGTACCCTGTCCTCAGTCTTCCGGAGTTTTCTCCACCTGTAGGCAGTCCATAAGGTAAAACCACCATATACTACTATATATGATCCCCAAACATATGGATAGGTTTCTGCATTCTCTTTAATTTTTTGATACTGTTGTTCTACCATTTGTATGATACCTTCAGGAGCTTTGCTCTGCTCATTCTTTTCACTTTGCTGTTGACTAGCCATTTCTTCTGTCCTTTTCTCCTGAAATTTTGAGACAATAAAAAATCAGAACTCGAAAATCAAGCCAAACTCATGGAACGACAGCAAGAATATCATTCCAAATATTATCACTGAATGCAAATGGAGTCGATCATTTGCAATTAGTACAACAACAAAGGTCTCAGTTTTAGGCATCTGCATCACGAACTGGTTCGCTCCAGTCAGTTGGGTCAGTTAAATTGAAATATGCTCAGCCCTAGCAGAGGGTGAGAAGTGCAACCAGTAGGTATCAGCTACAGGTTGGTGCCACCTGAAATTTCAACCCAATATAGCATGTCCTTCAATTGATACTCTTATGCACAATTATTGATTATTGAACTCCCAGAAACATCAACTAAGCAGACTGTCATCTAAAAATCAAGCTTGCTTGAATCTGTAATTTTGATATATATATATATATATATAATAAAGAAAATTATTTCTTCAATCAGATCATGCATAATACACTTCTTGAACTACAAATTAAAAACAGTAAATTATTAGCAAAGAAATATTTTTTTTTTTTTTTTTATATTAATATATAATTAAGAAAATTATTCTCTTGTCCATTCAGATATGCATATCACCACTTCTTGTAACTAACAATTAAAAACACGAGTAATTATTAGACAAAGTAAAATATTTTTTTTTCTTTTCTTGTTATCTAAATAAAAAAAGCCGAAGGGAATTACTTTTGTTCCAGTACATATTTTTTTTTTTTTTTTTTTAAAAAAAAAAGCCGAAGGGAATTACTTTGTCAATTACATATGAATTACAATGAATGGTCTATTACATATAGGAATAGAATTTCAACTTTAAAAAATACAGTGTAGCAACTGCAAGATTACATTTTACTTTGCATATATACTCCCTCTGTCCCATTTTGCTTGCATAGTTTGATAAAATACGCATATTAACAATTTAATTAATAAAATTATTTTACCCTTCATTTAATAAAGGATCACAAAGGTTATAATGGAAAATATAATTATTTATTTATACAAATTTAAAAACATTGCAAACATTTTGGGATTTCCAAAAAAACAATAACAAGCAAACAAAATGGAACGGAGAAAGTATTATATAAAATAATTTAATAAATTTATCAAGTCATATATATACATGAAAATAGTAAAATTTATTAAAATAAAAATACTACATTAATTATATTTCACTATAATAATAATTTCAACAAAAAATTTAAAAAATAAATATTACATTATAATATACTGTAATAAAATAAATAGTAAAAAAATTTAAAATAATAATAATAATTTCTATACTAATAATATTAGTGTGATTTTCAATAAATTTCATACTTAATAAATTTAACAAATATATTTTTTAATTTTATAAACAGATAAGGATATTAAATAAAATTATTTTCATGAATGAGAGTAAAATATATAATTTGAAAGAGATACGATTTTCTATAAGTGTCACGACCGGAAACCAAGGGCCAGATCGGCACTAGAGCTCAGGTAAATTTAAGCCCCTTGAGGCCCATAGTAAGCCTAAACCACAAAGTCCATATACGCCAAATGAATTCTTACGAACAGTAAGCCCATATTATTTTATATAAATCAAGTAATCACATATCCTTGGCCCAATTCCAACATCTCAAATTAATTCATGACTTGGGCCAATTTGCAATACGTAAATGCTTCCTAACATACTAAAATGAACACTCATCTAATCAAACACATAGCACAACACTCACATACAAGTACACATTCACATAATCAAACACGTAGAGATTGATTTATGCGTCACCGAAACCCCCATGAACCATCTTCACACATAACCCATCCTCTCATGACACGTGCACCAGGGAGCCAATCCCATACATGGTTGACCGGTCTCAACCTCACTTGATCAGCGCTCTCATTTTTTTTTTTTTTCATGCTCTCTTTTCTTTTCCATATCAACAGGAGGCCACCCTGTGGCTTTTCCATATCATTCATATCATTAGATGTACACAGGACACCAATCTCTCCATACATGGCCGATGGTATCATATACTGCCCTTACAAATCCGTGGTAACCCACTTCATCTCAATTCTACACAAACAAGACATAGCAATATCATAATACAAATAATCAAACTAATGCAGCACATTAATAAACAAAGGTTATGCAAATGTATAACTATAAATATATATGCAAATAAGTAGAAAAGCAATGAATGTTTATGCAATAAATTAAATAAGTAATAATTAAGTAGGAAATTATACATTATGTAGTAGTATCTCTACACATGAAGCAAATAACAAAGCACTATTTATTGTAGCGGACAAAAGTTCTAGTTCTGATTTTTTTTTTTTATTCAGGAGTAGTCAACGAGTTCGGTCGATCTATAAGAAATTGAATTGAGAGGAGAGAAAGGAATAAAGTAAGAAATCTCTTTAAATAAATCTAGCAACTAATTTACTAGCTACAATTATAAGTAATTAAAACTCTGTCAAAATTTTGACAGAACCCCCGCTAAAAATAGGACTATCTACCTGTTCAGACAATATCAAATATCTAACATTTATTAATCAAATTCACACAGCCGATCTATCGGACAATCAACCAAATCAAACACTCATCCTCCTTTTTCATACCCGTTTCAACATTCAACAATTTTCATTTATTACTCTTTACTTACAAGTTCACAATCAAAATCTCAACTAAAATATTGAATCTCATATTAACAACAACATCCATTGCTCAAATCCCATACTCAAGGAAAAGTAGAGTTCATAACTCATCTATCAAAGTTTTTAATTAATCCCACCAAATAATTAAACAGCAATAACTGTGCAATTTACATTCTTTTCTCACATTACAACTTTAGAAAGCTAAATAATTTGGCAACCGCATAGAAAATTTCTGGAATTCAATTATTCATTACATAAAATCAGCTAACATATAAGAGGTAGCAAATAACTGGTGTAGACTGTCCACTCACCACCTTTTCTAACTTAAATTATAACATAATTGTTGCCAAATGAAGAGAATCTATTTACAACATCAATATAATTTCAATTCAAGCTGAACTCATGGAATATCTCTAATCTGATACTGCCAATCAAAGAACCGTTGTTATCTAATCCAAACTCATTTTTCATATGCTAATTAATTCATTTCCCATTTATGGTAAATATACAACCTTCCTTTCAATCTAAGTACAGTCAAACTCATGAAAACAAACAGTATAGCTGCTAACTTTTTCATGATTCTCTCGTTTTCTAAATTCCTTAATAAACATTACTAAGATTACTACCATGCACCAACAAACCTCAAATCTCAAACCAAAGTTAGCCATAAAGACATCAATTCCTTTATTATCTTGCAAGAAATTGGTTTATAATTTTATTTCTTAACTTGTTTTAAATAAAAGCCATGGAGATTCCCATGCAGCTTCTGCCATTAGAACAAAAAATCAATTTCCTTTACCCAATATGTATAGCAATCATATAACTCTTCTCATTAAATAACATGAATTCAATTTATGAAATTAGTTAGCAATTAAATCTAAATTCAGTCTCATCTAAGCGCATGAACAGGGCTCCATGAACCATAACTTCTACACATCTAAGATTCAAGCTTCAAACACATCAAATTATCTAAAGGAAAAATCATATTTTGGTTCCTAAATTGCAAGTTACAACTTTAACACTTCTCATATAGCAAGATTAAACGAAGAACGTTCCTAAATTGCAAGTTACAACTTTAACACTTCTCATATAGCAAGATTAAACGAAGAACTCCTAAAATTTCCACATGAACAGTAAATTAAAATCTAGATAGCTTACTAACAAATAAAATACCCCCCATTCCTTTAAGTCCTATTAAGGACATAAATATAGCATTCATTCTCTATCTAGCAAATAACTAATTTACAAAAATGCACTTACTAATAAGACTTCCTTATTTTGATTACTTTACATTAAGAAATTACATTAAACCACATTTGCTGCCATCTCAAACTATAACCCATGTTTCTTTCTCAATCTCATCCTTAGTTATTATCAACGATACTTGTTACTTGTACATAGTACATCTATAGGCTCAATATATAGGTTCAATTGACATAACTCATAAAATTTTACTAACTAGATGCTGCCAAGCTAAAGAAATCAGAATTTCTGATTAGAACCCATACATTTCTTGCCCATTGGCTCCTTTCTCAACCAAAACATGATTTATCACATCATATGTCCCATATCAAAGTAATAATGTTAGCAAATAGTTAGATTAGCTGCTGCCATTTCAAAATCATTCTCAATTCCCATCAAACTTGATGATTAGAACATCCAGAACAAATTATGAAAAAGCATATATATATATATATATATAATATTATATATAATATATATATATATATATACCACCAACATAAACTTGGTTCAAGCAAAAACCTGTGATTTTCCCTAGCTAGAGGCTGTCACTATATCAAAGAAACCTTAAGCTCTTGATTAAACTCATACATTATATGCTAGTTAACCTATTTCCCATCAAGATTAATTTAGTTTGCATCATATCAGCAATTATTCAAGTTGAATAGTTAAAGTGGCTGCTGCCATTTCAAAGTTCCTTAATTCCATTACCAAATTCTGTGTTAAACTAAATAATTCATTCATTTCTATATGGAATTTCAGTTTATACCTCAATTAAGAAACAATAGCAGAGTTTTTAATTAGCATCTATAATACATAAGCTAATTGTTTCATTTTCCATCAAAGTTTTAAAGTATAATATCAATCTCCTTCATATTATATCAAGAACTCAGGCTAACAGCTAAAATAGTAGCTGCCATACTAAGGGATCCTCGATTTCTTCATAAAATTGCAATAGAAGCAATAATCTACCTATTTCTATACATTTATCAATTATATTTGCAATAGGAATTCAATTCGTATACCAACTAGAAGGTAAAGATCAAAATTTCCATCAAGAGCTAGCATATATGAGCTAGCTTATATATATATTATCATATATATTTATATTTATATATATATATTTACTACTAGATAATATATCTAAACTTCGGTGAATATATAGCTTTGCAATTGCAATTAAATTGTATTTATTCAATTATAGACTAGACTTTTTCTATTAACTCATGGCGTGTATATACTAGATAACTTATCTAAAACTCGGATTATAGCTTGCAATAATAAATTTTTAGCAAAATTTTCTAAACTAATCTGCATAAACAGTAGCTAGGGGTCCCGATTTCTACACTAACTCCATTGATGCCTCAAATCCTTCAACTAAGATTAAAGGACTCATGAAATATATCTAAGAGGGTCGAAATATGCTTACCCGACTGTAGAATACGGCGAAAAATCAAGGAGGAGCAAAGGCAGTGTTGAAAGAAGCTGTCGGTCGAAGAGAAATCGTAGCTCACTCTTGCTGCGCTCGCTGGAAGAGAAGGAGAGAGAAGATGAGTGGTGAAGAGACGGAGCAAGGAGCTCCGGTCGGCGCAAATCGAACGCAGGTGGCCGGAACGCAGCTTGAATCGCAATTACACAGCCTCCTGCTTCTCTTCGACTTGCGCTGAAATCGATCGAAAGAGAGGGAGAGGGAGTAACAGAGAGCAATGCCGGCGCAGGAGGAGTCGGCGACGTTGGCCTAGGGTGACGATCGGAAAATCAAGAATGGGAGGGAAAAGGGACTGAGGCAGGGCCTAGAGGGAAATAGGGAGAAAGATGTCCTGGGCAAAATAGTAAATTCATTTTCTAGGGCTTTTTAGATTGATTTCGATTCGATTTGAGCTGGGTTTTTGCTGTGTTCTCTTTTGGTTTATAGACTTTTTTATTGGTTTGGTTTATTTTTTAGGTTTGGTTTCTATAGATAATCATATTAAATTTTATCAAATAATTTAACAAAGTAAAAATATATTTATTTTTGAAAAATGAAAATGCCCTTTTATCCCAATGGAAAAATTTTATTATTTAAATTTTAAATGAAAATTTTTTAAAATAAATTTTTGGGTCGTTTTAATAAGATAAAAGGGAAATTTATTAAATAAATTATAATTAATAATTTTTATTAATACCTGCAACTATTGAATAATAAGAGGATAATATATTCGGTGTCTGAACTTTCAATTTTTTTTCTATTTTGATATGTTAACTGAAAACGGTAATGATTAAGTATTTGACTTTATAAAATTTTACGATCAAATGTCTCCGGACGATACATCCGTGGCAAATAGAAAAAATGATTGTGCATTTTTTGAGCCTAATTTTTGCCTTACATGGCGATAAAGAGCTAGACTATTTGCAAATAACCCGCCGCTAACATGGAATTGACCTGAGATCTGCATTTTAATCTCCATTTATTGCATCCCACCCACCTACTTCTCTTTCTTCTAATCTTCTCTTTGAATCTAAGCTCCTCAACAACGTGCATTTTATCCCCTCCCCTTTACTAACACTTTGGCCTGGTGTTTGTTTCCCAAAAGTTTATTTCATTATTTTATTTGCTTGCAGTCAACGTTGAAGAGAAAATAGTCAGTCTTATTTTCAAAATACCAAAAAAAAAAAAAAAATCACTGATAATGATAACATATATCATTTTACCATGTCATTATAAAGTATACAGTGTTTTTTTTTATAAAAGCTTTATATTAGTATATTTGAATGTTAATTTTTGTATTTATCTAGACATTATTATCCAATTATTTTATTTTTGGTTGTCAATATACTAATATTTGATTTTCTTTCTAGTTCAATTTATAAGAAGCTATAAAATAAATTAAGATATTATAATATGAAAATTAGTAATTTATGAAAATAATAATCTATTTAAATATGTATTAATAAAATTAAGAAATAAAAGTGTTATATACTTTTAAATTCAATTGTCCCTGTATAAATTGCAATGCAATGCAATTGCCCATCCCTTGAGGACTGCAATTCAATTATCCCTATGTATGTTCAACTCTATTATCAATGACTGCATCCCCATCCCTAGAGGAGTCCAAAACCAAATACAAAATGTAAAAAAATTACAAACGAAGGCAACAGAAATTGAAACTCAAACTGAAGTAAAATCATAAATGGCATCAAATAAGACCCATATCGAACTCACTCTCGACCCACACCTGAACAACGTCGAATCATACGAGACTCTCTCTTGGTGCTTAGATTCAAATCGGCTTTTCCCACGTGAGAAGATGTAAGTTCTCTTTCTTTTCTTTTAGGGTAATTTATTGTTTTTGTAGTTGTTTTCAATTAGCGGCTATTAGTAAAGTTTTGAAATTTTGAAGTCTTTGAGCTTAGATTCAAAGAGGAGATTAGAAGAGAGTTCTGTTTTTGTGGTTTGGTTACACCTAGCGTTGGAAGAAAGAAAAGTAAGTAGGTGGATGCAATAAATGGAGGTCAAAATGAGGATGTCAGGCCAATTCCATGTCAGCAATGGATTGTTTGACAAATGGTCTGGCTCTTTATCGCCATATAAGCTGCCAGTCGTAAAAATTGGGCCACAAAAGTGCACAATTATCTTTTCCATTTGTCATGTCATTTAGAGATAGTTAATTGTAAAATTTTAAAAATTTAGACATTCAATCGTTGCCATTTTCTATTGAGATATCAAAACAGAAAAAAATTGAAAGTTCAGACGCTGAATATATAACTATCCCTATAATAAGTGATACAATCATTGAAAAAAAAATATAATTATTATCAAAATATTGAAATAAGTAATTTACACTACAAATTATGTAGTAAGTAGTTTTTATTGGATACGAGACCCAGATAGGCATGGCCACCGGTTCAGGTTGAACTGGAACTGAATCGAAACTGAGCCATATTGTAGACGAGCCGGAACTGTTGGTTCAAATTTTTGAACCGGAATCAATGGTTTAAGGGCCGGTTAAGGTTCATGTGAATGTTAAATTCTAAATTTAAATCAGTTTGCAGCCGGCGGTTCCGGTCTAGTTTTTATCGATTTTTTTTTTTTTAAAATTATAGTCACTTAGCCTATTTTATAAAATTTAGCATATGATTATATTGTTTAACACAAATGAGAGTTTAATATTTTTTTTCCTTTTAAATATTTTACTTAGTTCAAAATTACTTTGTTTGAAGCATTTTTGAAAATTTTCTAATAATTTATTTAATTAATAACATTTGGGCAAAATAAAATGATAATTTATTTAATTATTTTATAAAATTAATTAATAAATGCCTTAGAATTAAAATTTTATTTTTTTAAAAAAAATTATACACATCGCTGGAAACCGTGATTGAACCGTCGGTTCATCGAATCGAAACCTGTGATTCAAGGGCCGGTTCAAATTCAATATTTTAAAAATCTTGAACCGCTGGTTCATTGCCTAAACCAAGATATGTAGTGAGTATTTTTTTTTTTTTTAGATACATGGGAGGCCCAAATTAATTTTGTGGGCTACACAGCAGAAGACAATCCTCCTCTTAGAACAACATTCATCAAATTGGTGATAACTTTTGTGGTAGAAAGGACTCAAACTTGAGATTTTTCACTCCCTACATCTTCTAAAAGAGGTAGAAAGATCAACCAGACTACACCTAATTGGCTATGTAATGAGTAGTTAACACTTTAATGGTATATATTTAATTATTTTACTAATTAAATTCAAAGCTGCTCAAACTTTGGGTTTAATCTAGTTTTCAATCAGAGAAGATTAAGGTAAACTGATTTGATTTGATTTTGATTTTCGATTTATTGGTTGAACTGCCTAAACGATTTGAAACTTAAAAGTTAAAACTATATTTTTTAAGATTTTAAAGTTTTAGGGTTTGGGATTATAGGATTTTAAATTTGCTAACTAGGTAAAAGAAAAAAAATATAAAATTTTAACGTTTTCGATAAATTTAGTTAATACATTTAATTGTATCAATTACTACCTCAAATTTATTTTTTCTTACCAATTACAGCCTTCATCCATTAGTTTGTTGCTTACTTGGCATTTAGTTGACTCCACAACATGTCAGTTCATATCCATGTGTCATTATTTGGCTGTTTATCCTTGCTTTAAGAATCTCTAAATATGAAAATTGCGTTGTTGAGACAATCTAATTTCTACTTCACTACAAGTTTGAAAGAATCTGATGTGCTTAATGGACTCTTCATGGACCTTCGGCAAGCGACTCGCATAGTCAATAATCCTAGAGTCTACCAAATAGATTTCTTTACTCTAGATTCGCTCTTGCAGCTGCATCACTCGATTGCACTAATCAATCAGGTTCTAGATGGAGGCTAGAATTAATAACAAAAAATAAATATAGGGTATTGATTAATAAAATTAAAAGTATCGGTTAAATTTGAAAAACTAAAAAATTCAAGCTTTCTTTGATGATTAAGACCAAAAAAAAGTAATGAAAAAGAAAAAGTTATGTAGTTGGACCATCTGCTCTATCTGTTCGAGTTTCACTTCTCCGGAGAAGGTGATATGCTAAAAATGAAAGTGTTCACAACGCATCCGAAAAAAAGAAAAGCCTTATTGGTCAGTTACTCCACCCACTAACCCTCTCCCCTTCCCTTAAAAAAAAAAAAAAAAAAAGAATTTTGACATCTTTTTCAATTTTTGTCGATTCTTTAAATTTTATCAATTATAATACTGAATTTAATTTTTTTGTAGTAATTATAAGTTCGTCCGAGAACCGTTAAAAGCTTATGATGTAGCCATTAATGGGCTTCACACGCTGCAACTTCAATACTGTATGTACATGTCATGTCATCATTTTAAAAAAGGCTTAAAGATAAAAAAGGCCTAAACTTTGATATTCTTTTCCATTTAGCCATATTTTTAATTTTGTCTATTACGCCACACTGAAAATTTTTTAGAAAATGAGAATATAAATAACACAAAAAAATTTTGTTTAATAAAATGAAATACAAACTAACTTTTAAAAATGATGCAAGTTTTGAATTAAAGCCAATGATTTAAAATTTAAGAATTAAAATTTAGTGAAAGTATATAATTTTATGATAAAAAAATACATATACTCATCCATGTATTTCAAGAATTAAAATTTAATATAACTTTTCTCCTCTCTTTATATATATGATATACATATAAGGGTGGCCATTTTCCGGTTTTCAGAACTGTGAGGATCCAGAATCAGTCCGAATCGGACCGAAACCGGGGTCAGAGGTTTGATTTTGGTTCTAACTTTTAAGGAACTATGAACCAGTGGTTCCAAGAACAAGCTAGAATCGGTAGTTTCGACGGTTCGAACTGGTGATTCCACCAGTTCCAACAATCTTTTTTTAATTTTTTCAAATATTTTTGTGAAATTCCAAAATTAACCCTTCCAATAACTATATAACGACTAGTTTTAAAGGTATTTGTGGAAAATTGATTTTTTAGATTTACTGTAAATATCCCTTTTCATTTTAAAAAATAAAAGCTTTTTTCACAACAAAAAAAGTTCTAAGCCTTTTTTTAAAATAAATAAATTAAGTCTAGTGTTTTATTAATTTTTTCTTAAAGTATTTTCTAAAAATTATTTCATAAATATTTAAATTTTAAATTTTCAACAAAAATGTTCTCTAATTTTTCATTTTATAATTATGCGATTAGCTGGAAAATCAATCAGAGAACCGACCAGAACCGTCGATTTCGAACTGTTAAGAAATTGGATTTGGAACCGTAACCGTTCGGTTCTAAATTGTAACTGGAATCGTCAATTTTTGATTGGGTTTCGGTTTCAGATTTTTTGGAACCGAAACCGTTGGTTCTAGAACCGAAAC